TGTATCATGACAGTGACAATCAATCCTGTTATTCGGTTAAAGTAGCTATGTGCTACTGATTGTTTACTATTTCTCGTGTCAGCAGTTCTTAATTAGTGATGCGGGGGTAGACTAAAACGAAACTAATGACTGGAAGTAGATAATAACTTTCGATCCGAGTAGGCTCTGTATTTAAGAGCTAAACTAAAAAATACACCTGACCATTAGTATAACTACTTTTCTTGCGTTTCTACTCATAAAGATTAGAATGCATTGTTTCTTCAATTGGGCACCTTAGCTGTTAACGATATTTTCAAACGTAAACCCAATAATATTTCACAAAGTTCAGCCGAATAAGACTGTTATGAGGCTCAACTTTGTGAGATATTAATTGATAACAGATTTAGGTTGGTCGTAAATATGAATTTTAAGCTAAGAATATAAATCAGTCTTTGTAATAACAGTATAATAAATAACGATAAATTAAAATAAAAGTAACTGCATCCTATATAGTAACTGGCATATCAATATTATGAATTAAAGAAACAATAAATAGTTAAAATTAAGCCTCCTGAACTTAGCTGTGTTGCCCCTACTGTGTTTTAAAATCTTGTTGACGTAATGCTGTCTACCTGCGAATTATAAAAAGTAACACCTTCTAAAATTGCCTTAAAGTTTAAGTTAATGCTTTCAAGCGTAATTCACATTATGCGGTAATTTACAGTAGGACAGAACGACACACGAGGCAGCTTTTCTGTAAGATTATTGGCTTTCGGGCCCCAGAAGTAATTAGTGGGTTTACTTGTAATATTGGTGGCATCTTTGTTTACGTTTTCACCTATGTTATTAGATACCCTATAATAAACAAGAAGGCACTGGAAATTCTTATAGGCAGGATTCAAGTAAATAGAAGTAATTCGCCCGAGTAGTGGTTTTCCTTTTTGTTATTTTCTCACAAAATCGCGAGTAATAGGAGAAGATAGTAACATTACTTTTATATACCAATTGAGCGAGCAATTGTTTCACATCTTGCCTATCTGGCAGGCAAAGTAATTTTCATCTTAACATTAAAAATAATTTTGTGCATCAGAAAATTTCGAACTTTCATATGCGAATTTTATACTGCCCAAATAGTTACCAACGTTTCCTAAGAGAAAACTTTATATTGTTACGTCTCCGTTTGTTAATTG